ACGAAAAGAGAAGCGACCACAGATGAAATTTATCGCTGGTTGTCAGTCCAAATAAAAGTTTTAACGAATATTTTACACTCTGATTGTAATAATATTTATTACAGCTTTTTTCGTTATTTTTGCAATAGCTCCTGTTCCATATTAGTCTAGGACTTAAATGAGCCCTGTATATGTAGGCCTTATAAAAAAAAATATAATGTAACAACAGTGCTACTTGTCTAGCATGTCGTGAAAGGTAACTAAAGGATACGGGAATGAGATTCTGTAGGTGTTGGGCTCCACCAATCGCTTTTTTCACAATTTTCATCTATACCCATCTTTGATTAAAGATGTTCGAAGGGGCTCTCTGCTTTTTGGGCTCTGCCTATCCACTCGAAGATTACAGACGTGACGTATATGAATAGTATAGAATGAATTTTTATTTTTTAACTTTTGTGCTTATAATAATATTATATAAGCTTATGAATCATCTTGATTATTTAGTTATAAATATATAATTTAGTGTTAGGTAATTTTATTTTTAATATTATATGAAAAATAAAACAGTTCCTATTCTACAAGGAATCCCACATTCCGGTGTCGGGCGAAAAACTTATTAGTTCACTTAAACGTGGTAGAGCCATGCTGCAGCTATATTAATAGTATAGTTGTAGCACGAATAGGTCGGCTCGACCGGGGAAGAACCACGCTCTCACAGAATACCTGCGTAAAATAGCAGCTTGATGCTGCTGTGTTTCGTATGGTGAGTGTAGAAAACCGGATACCCATTTTACTACAAAAGAGGCATTCCATCTTAGTCCTCACGGCTGACAACGCATCTGCATTTTAATTCGCAAACGAAGATAGATATAGATGTCTATGGGCCACAGCAACCACTTACCATCAGGTGGACTGCGTGCTCGTTTGTCACCCTTATTCTATAAAAAAAAAAGTTATAACTTTAACTTTTAGGTCGTTTTGACCTTGGCGTTGATATATCAAGTAATGTTTCAGTGTGAACGTGCAAGGGAACTATTACGATTACCGCTTACATAATTTAATTGTAATTTTGGTCTGATCTTCAGTTTAACTGAACCGACAGTGATGAAACTAGATCCTTCCTGTATTGTTCTCTATCTAGATTCTGTGTTATATTTTATTCGAAAAACCTGTTTTAATTTTTAAAAATTGAATTTTTTTTTTAAATGGAATAAGTTTGACAAACGAGCATACAGCCCACCTGATTTTAAATGGATGCTGTAGCACATAGACATTTACATTTATCGTCGATTACGAACAAAATGCAGATGCGTTGTCACCCCTGAGGGCTAGGATGGAATGCCTCGTTTCCAGTAAAAAGGGTCTACAGTTCTCTACACTCACCATAGGAAACACAGCAGCATTAAGCTATTATTTTACGCTGGCTTTCCGTGAGATCGTGGTCTTCCGATCCTCGGCCAAGCCGAACAATTCGTGCTACAATCATAATATAGCCGCAGCGTGGCTTATACCACGTGTAAATGGTCATTAATCACTGTTTTGAAAAAATTAAATGACTCCACATTAATAGATCCCACCCAAGTGAAGCCGGGGCGGGTCACTAGTAATTAATAAATGAAATATGTCATTGTTTGTAATTGGCTGTCTGTAGGTTACGTAAACACTATACTACTAAAAAGTATGTTATCTAGGATTTTAATGACTTCACAACTTCTTATATTTACGCGAACACTACACATTTTTAAATAAAACTAATTTTACGGATTTTATCGCGTATATTAACTTATTTTTATATTCCCGACGTTTCGGGTGCTTTCCAGCACCGTGAAAGCAGCCGAAACGTCGGGAATATAAAAATAAGTTAATATACGCGATAAAATCCGTAAAATTAGTTTTATTTAAAAAGACTTCACAACTGTTATAAAATCGGTAAATTTATATATCATGTATAAATATGGATTTTGTGTTTTTAAAAGGAAGTGTATAGACTTTTCAATTTTGACTTTGGATTTCTAGAAATCGTTGTATTAACTACTAATCCTATTGATGTAATGTTTCTCGGTCGGCAACCGTTGTCCTATAATAGAACAGTAACCAACCGGAAGCCTCAATCTATGTTGGGTCAGGAACAAGTCATCAACTAGATAAGAAGGTATTGCTGTTGTTTTGAATATTTAATATATTTTGATGTTACTTGTATGGACCGAGCTGCGGCGCTGTTAAAATTTTCACTATCCCATATCGTTCCGTGAGTGTTGTAAAAGGCAACAGAGGGAAACAAACCAGGAGATAGCAGTGGCGTCTTCCTAATAATAACTAAAAAATAAAGAACTGCAGTACCCGCCTGCCAACCGTGGCAGCTATGGCAAATATTCTCCCTATGAGGCTATGTGGGAGGCTTTTATTTAGTAGTGAACTTTTACGGTTATTTAGTATTAATTTCTTACTGCTTACTGTGATACAACGTAAGGTCATTTCAGAGATACATTATTTTTCTTTACATAATTTGGAGAGTAACTTCTAAGAGCAGCTTGATACTACAGCAAGAAATGCGGTTTGTACCAAGTTTTTAATATTTTTGTTTTTATTGAAAACTAGAGAAGTTCAATTTAATTTTAGTTTCTATGATTTTTAATTGTACTAATTAATAATACTAATTCTTAAAACTAATTATTGCTGCGGAAAGCTGATTTAACAAACTTACCTAAAGAATGTAGTTATAATATAAGATTTTAATTAAAACCTGATGGTAAAATATATAGTTGTAGAGTTTTATTTTGAAATAAAACGGATATTTAATATTTGCACCATTATGCTTTATTTTTAAATTACATGTTGATAATCAGTAAATGGAATATGTTTTCAGTAAAAGTAATTGAATACGTTTTCAGTAAAAGATACAAACACTCGTAAATCTTAACATCTTGCGAGACTGGTTCTATGGTATCATGGCTAGGTCTAAAATATCGCGAGATTGAGTTCCCTAATACAGAATAACTAAAATATGATAAACATAGAATACAGGCACCGATCACGTAAAGAGACAGGGCACTAATTTTGTTACTGCAACTTTTTTGTGCTACTACCCTCGTTTCGATAATATAATACCTGCAGTTTGCCCGACCTTAAACTTTTAATTTGTCTACGCCATTACTGAATATAATTTCTGATGATACTGTAATATAATTTAAGCACATATAATATTTAAAAGTGATGACAATATATCATTGTAATCGATGACGATCTGGACAACATAATTGCAACAGCTTCGCTTATTTTTGTGTTTGCTAGCTTTAGATTAGACGATTTTCATTTTAATTCAAAAATGTCGATTTATATGTAGTGCAAGATACAAATGGAAAATTGAAAACAAACAGTACCAAGTAATTAAAGTGGCACAAAACTGTGTCAGTTGGAATTAACCATTCTCCTCATATATCACTACCTAGTTTGTATATTTATTTTGGTACATTTAATTCAAAACAGACCAGGGAAGGGAATATGATTGAAAACTAGCGTAAAATAGCTGCCAGCTACTAAATTTCTAATGGTTAGTGAGAAATAAGATACCCTTTTTACTAGTAAAGGGGCATCCCAACTTAATCCTCAAGAGTGACAACGCATCTACGGCCTCCTTTGTTTGAAGTTGGTTGCAGTTGTACATGAACTGCACTTACCATCAGGTAGACTGACAATTAGTTTGTCATTTGCAAGCAAGGTTATTTTGCAGATTGATTACTTGTTTGATTTTCGTTGATATCTTGAGAATTTTTCCTTAACATTTAATTTGATATTTTGATAATTTAAGAATGATAAGAATGTGTTTTAGAATATTTGTATACTCTAATGGCCATATTCTTATTATAAGTTAAAATATGTTGCTTAATTAAATGGCAACTCGGTGAATAAATAATTTAAAATTAAAAATTACAACCGACTTCAATACAAAATATTAAGAATAACTCAAAAAATTTTTTTACGTAGTAGAGCCATGCTGCAGCTATATTTCCGGTATAACTGTAGCACGAATGGGTCGGCTCGACCGGGGAAGGACCACGCTCTTACAGAATACCAGCGTAAAATAGCAGCTTAATGCTGCTGTGTTTCGTATGGTGAGTGTAGAGAACTGGAGACTCTTTTTACTGGAAATGAGGCATTCCATCTTAGTCCTCACGGCTGACAACGCATCTGCATTTTGATTCGTAATGGAGGATAGATGTAGATGTCTATGGGCCGCAGCAACCACTTACCATCAGGTGGACTGTATGCTCGTTTGTCACCCTTATCCTATAAAAAAATATACGTATATTATGTACCTAAGATCATAATTAAATAATTTGAATTTGAATTGAATTTGCATTTGACAAACGAGTTTAAAATCTACCTAATGGTAAGTAGTTTCCATAGCTAATGGATACTCGCAACTATCTATATAGTTATGATTGAACTGAATTCTAAAATTGAATGCCTAATATCAATGGGTGCACTGTGGCTCTAGTAAAATTAGATAAGGGAGTAAAAAGAGATCCACACTTAATCTTCAATGAGATGGCCATTGAATAAATCTAACAAATTCTAGGACTTAAATGTCATCGAAAAATGCAAAATTAATAGTTTAGTTTGTTATTATTGTTATTGGGATATTTCTATTTGCTTTTTCACCTGGTTTAACTGCGTAAATACTTATAACAATATATAAATATATTTTAAAAACATAAAAACGATAGAATATAGTATATACGTAGTGGAATGAATGCATTTCTTTAAAAATAAATAGACAAAACCCAACCAGATGGAAGCCCTCGGCATGGGAGACCAAAGAGCCAAGGTTAAGAGAGAGACACCGGCGAACGATGCCAGCGTTATTGAGGAGCATCGCTTTTTGCTTCTGACCCCGAAGCGGTCCGTCATAAAGTCATTAGGTACCTCAAATGATCCGGTACGCCAACCGGGATTAATCCGTTTGCAGAAACAACTATTATTATTGTTAAATTTTCGAATAAACATTATTGTTGTTGCAGGCAAGTCGTTCACTCTGACGATAACGGTATCTACGACACCGCCGCAAGTGACGACGTACAATAAAGCCATCAAAGTGACCGTCGACGGACCTCGGGAACCGCGCTCCAAGACCAGTTAGTATTCATGATTAATTAAATTAATCTATTTATTAATACGTAAAAAAATCATTGTACCTCTTTTTAAGCATGTTGCGCTTACGAAGGTGTGTGATAATTGGCATAGTTAAAGTTTATGAGGAGAAGGAGTACGGAAAGTCAATATTTATATTTAATATATAAGTAATATGTAACAAGCTTGGACAAACTACGCATTAGTCGTTTGTTGAAGTTCATACTGTCTAGAGTAAGTACCTACAAGCATATGTGTGTTATTACTCTAAGGCCAAAGTCAAATCCATAACAGTCTGTGGTCAAATAGTCGCACAGAGTAGAGATGGTCGCTAAAGAATTTAAAAATGTTTCCAACTGAACATGAAATCGCACAAAATTTTGCGATTTCATGTTCATTTTTCAATTGCATTTGGACTGTTTGTCAATACAAAATAGCTTTTATTTTATATTAATGTGCAGTTGAAAATTAAATACAGTTTGCTTAATATACAAACCTAAAAATTGAATTAACTACGGTTGAACTACGGTCACTAGGCAACCTTAGTCAGACCTCAGTCTAGGTCGCCTAATGGTCGAAATTCGACCGTAGTTTTAATTAAATTGCGTAAGGTATTTCACGAAACACGCAATAAATTACGAATTTTGTACCATTAATTACTATTTATATTAACAACACTATTTCACATTTATACTTTAAATGCGATAGTTTGCATGTGTTTAGTTATTTGTTGCGTAATCACACCTCACTACAAATACATCACTCATCATCGATTTTTCCACGATAATTTCATTACGACATGATATCGGATCTCAGTATTTTACTCAATAATCTCAATAGTATTGTCATCTAACGTATTCAGTATCAGTGCAGTTTTATAAAAACAGAGAGGCCAACTTCATAACCTCGTAACTATACACCGCTGCATTGGAAGACGTTTCCAAGCTACTGGTATAAAAAGAATACGGTATCAACAACTTCGGTCTCGGTTGACTGTTGGTTTATATAGGTGTTAAAGTGTTTGTGTAAAGGGCTACGATAACTGTTCGTGTCAGAATCAGAGTACATAACCTATTCAACTGCAGACAGGTATAAGACAATCGCCACCATCTTATACCTCTCTACGGTTGGATAGCTTTTGTACTCTGGTATCAAACACTAGTATTCTGGTATGAAATATCCCCCAAAACTCTGCATCTATCTCATTTCTTAGCACTATGTTTAATGACTTCAATGATGTTTCGCAATGGATAAGTCTTAAAATAAACATAGACAAGACAAACGTCATTTGTAACGTCCATGTCACACCTTTGCGGGTAGTTGTTGGGAGCACTAAATTAATGTTACTTTGACCGAGAGGTATCGGATGTAATTTGGCTTGACAGCGTTTGGGAGATTACGACACATCTTCCACATCCACCTTAAAACTTGAAAACAGGAGCATTTGTACGCTCTTGTTGCCAGTGACGAATATGGATGTGAGACGTGTCATTTCACTACTGGCCAAATGAAGAAGCTCAAGGTCGCTTAGCGAGTTGTGGAGAAGGCTATGCTCGAAGTTTTTCTACGTGATAGACGTAGTACTACAGCAACCGACATAGCCAAACAGCTCAGTAAGCTTAAGTAGCAATGGGTCGGTTACATAGCTCCAGTAAAGACAATCGATGTGGAAGATATGTTATCGAGTGGCAGCCTCGTACACCAGTAAGTGAAGAGTAGGGCAGCCTCACTAGTTGATGTGACGACTTGATTATAGATGCGGGAAGTAGATGTTTGCAGATGGCTCAGGACCTTACTTTGTGTTACTACTTTTGGGAGGCCTTCTTGGGAGGTCAGCAGCGGGATTGTGATAGGCTGTAATGATGATGATGATGAAGTCAACCTATTAATAATATCACAATATTTTCATTTTATTTTATTTCATAACGGATAATCTCGTAACTCTAGTAAGCGTTTTTTGCTCATTATCAATCCAATTTCAATCAATTTCGTTTTCATTTGTTGCACGAGCTTAAAATAATCTCTTACAAATTATTGATGATACATAAAAAATATATGAAAACCCACTTTTCTTATGAAAGGCGTAACTAAATTTGTTCGACATCAAACAAATGAATTTTCCCTAGAATTACTTCAAAATGTTACTTGAATACAGAAGAACCACTCGGTGACGGTAACAAATGACGGTGCCTACTCGACCCGCTTCTCCAAATCACACCTAATGCTCGATCAATCCTCATCACGTGGAAGAAATTAAAATAATTGAGAACGCAGGATAGTGTCGGCCTTTACAATCCGGAGAGCCAAAGGGTTGCGTACCGTTAGCATTAAAAGATTAGTTAACTCATAAGTAATAAAAATTACTACTCAATAAAAAAAATCTATTCAATAAAAAAAAAACAACAAAAATGCTTAGACATAAAATCAAAACGTACTCCTCGCGTAGTAGTACCAAGACATCTGGCAGAATTTCCTCGCTGAATGTCTCTAGAAATTCTTATTGAATTAATCACGTTACGGTTAGAATAATGTTTTATTGATGTCCATATTTACTTTACAATTTTTTATGATTGATATTATTAACATCATATTATCAAAACTCCATTGTTGATCATAAGTCCCTAACATGCTTTAAAAACTACCATATCACTCAGTCTTAAGCCACCTTCCTAGTTCCTTTATTTAATTCCCTATTAAATTATTACTTCTGAGTATTAACAGAATATGATTACTTTTACGATAAGTAAAGATCTCGTAGTCTTCGGTTAAAATGTGGCAATCTCTAACACTGATACAAAAAAAACTTATACCACATCTAAACTGTGTAGAATAATAATAAAATTGTAGATCTTCTATTTAAAATATAAGTTTCCAATAAAAGGTCAAGTTAAGAGTGAATAGGCTTTTGGTACGCCAAGACAGTGCAATTATTTTAATTATTTATCAGGTACGGCATCATCACAATTTTTTTTTATAAAACTGAAGCTTAAAACGAACTTATAATCCACCTGATGATAAGTGGCTACAACTATCCACGGACACCAACTTCAAATAAGGTAAACTACAGATGCGTTGTCACCCCTGAGGACTAAGACGGAATGCCTAACTGAATTATTCTGATTCTCTAAACTCTTTAGACCGAAACACATTAGTTCAGGCACTGCTATTTAACGGCAGAAATAGTTAAGAGGATGATATCTAAATAACTGGATTTCTAGAATGAAAGAGAGTCTTACTACACAGTAACCCATCACCAGGTGGGATTGTTTTTTTTTTATATAGAAGAGGGAGCAAACGAGCATGCGGCTCACCTGATGGTAAGTGACTACCGCTACCTATGAACAACTGCAACACCAGGAAATTGCAGATGCGTTCCAGGCCTTTTAGAAAGGTTCAAGCTCTTTTCTTGAAGTCCTACCAGTTCCCTAACAGTTATTGGTCCTGAAAAATCGCTGGTGGTAAACAGTTCCACAGAGAAGTTGTACGAGGAAGAAAACTCCTAGTAAAACGCACAGTCGTGGACCGCCAAGCATCCAGATGGTGAGGATTGTATCGTGAATTTTGACGCGATGTGCGTTCGTGAAATTTGGCAAAAAATCAAAAAAAAAGTGAACAGAATGTTATGCTGTCTGTACCGATAGCTCGGTAGACGAATGTGAGGGCACAAAGGAGGATGCTGTAATGAATCGGTTGTTTAATTAATTAGTCAAGAAAGGGCTCGAGAGGTGCGGGGAGGGCAAACCACCCTACTCGCATGCATGTGCCCTGCATATTGATTTATTATGCCTCCAGCCTCTATACGGAGGCGATAAATTATTTAATTCTAGTAAGTTCCGACGAGTGTTTACATGACTATACATACTCGAATAGTGTTATACGGGCTCGTTAATGACTTAGTTCGGGAACTGTTAATACGGTGCGTTGTTCATTACAATGTTCATTGGACGTCCTTTGTGCTGGCGCTTAGTAATGCGATTGGAATCTATCAAACGATCGCGTGTATTGCCGGTTAAATATTTATTATGGAAATTTAAAGACAAAATGACATTTAGATAAATTTAAAAAGAAGATTTTAATTTTATGAAATAATAAATGAATTATTTAAGTGAAATTATTTTTAAATGCATCTTAACAAACTTTGTTGCAAAAATGTTCTTGAATTTTCAACCAAGTAGAACTTATACGGAAAACCCCTTCAAGATCTATTTATTTTACTGGGACAACATTTGTTCAAAGTCTGATGCATTAAGTGCTATAAAATTTTAGGTAATCTTCGTTGACTCTACATTTTCATCTATACTTGAAGACACAGTAAGGACAAACGAGATTTAATTTATTGCGTCGAAAAATAAAGAGTTAGCAAATACTAGCATTTTTCATTTTCATTTTATAATTTTTTTTTAATAAAAAGTGAAATTTACCTCGTTTCTATGAATAGGGGCCCGTTTCAGAACTTTTTGAGAGTATTTGAAGACAATTGGAACAGTGCTGTTACTCTGGGCAAGTAATTAAATTATAATCTAAAATCACTTTAAGCGCAGTTCTTTTTGCGGTTATCTCAAAAATACCTAAATCGTACTGTTATTAATAACATGAAAAATCGATACTACATAAAAATGTAAAAAGAGAAGGTAAAGTGAGGGCGAGGAGAGGGGGTTTGTATCTTTTTGCGTAAAGTTACAAACCAAAAAATTTTGCTCTAAGTTTTTTTTATCTTCTTTGGTTTATGAGATAATCATCAAAAACCACTTATTTCATGATTTATTTTCGATTTCTCCAAAAACCTCCGTGATAACGTTTAACCATATAGCTTAGATCGCTCCTGGTATTGTTCTTTATCTGTTCGCAAGGTTTCATGGCAATCGGTTTAACCATTCCGAAGGTTAGCTCGGATCGACAAACATACAAATTTTAAAAATTGTTATTCATGCATTAACAGCATATTATACACAACCCTCTGAATTCAATAGAAGGCCGTGATTTCGATTACATATTACAGACAGGC